AACAATAATAAATATTATCTAAGTTATCTATTAGGCTACCATTCCACTCTGTAAATAGATTTTAAAATTTCAATATGATTTTAATATTATTTTTGCTTATTTCATTATTGTTATTATTGGTTTTACCTTTTAGTAGTATTGTATTGTCTGAGGATGACTCATTTTAGTAACTATCTACAGTAAAAAAGATAAAAACAAGCAAAGAAACAAACAAAACTCATTTTATACACGGGGCCTTCAAAGTGCTCTCTGAAACTACACCTGGCATGGCTTGTGTCCAAAAAATGAAAAAATCTAAACTTTGTCGTAGAGCTAAACCAAATACATCATTGGAAAGGTCTCAACCTGGAGAGTGACATATGTCAGTATGAAGATTCTACATGGCTCCTGCTTTCAGCCATTGACCTTTGAACCTCGACCTTAGTGCATGTTTGAGGGCTTATAACTCAGCAACTAAAGGGGGTACAGACATGGGACCAACTGTTAGAGAGCTCTTGACCTCAGCTATCATGTGAGTGTAGTCAACAACTGTGGGTGCTGTCAGATATGGATAATATATGGATAAAATTAATTTTCACCCATTTAGAAATTAGATATTTAAAATCTGATTTCACAAATGTGTTTACCATCCCCTTAAAGTCCACAGTGTACTCTCAATTCAGTGTTTACAACTTCCACATCTGGGAAAAACACTTAGATTTTAAAAAAACTACAATTCCCTGGGACCGCGCCATGCAGTTTGATACATATCAGCAACATAGTTGTAGTTCTTTTGATTTGCAAAGTAGGGTTCTAAATAGGGTTGTAAAAAGATAGATCTACTGAATAAATCTAATATCTAGTAAAGCCGAAGTGGTTATTACACTGCACCTAGATGAACTATGTTAAGAAAAAAAGCAAGGATGTTGGCTAATCGCAGTTATTTTAGATAGTACTCTAAAAACGGCGTTTTTGGGACGGTAGGTTTTTTTGCGGCTTGTTGTAAAACAGGGTCATAAAAAGATACATCTACTGAATATATCAAATGTCTAGTAAAGCTGAACGAGTAATGACACTGCACCTAGATGAAATATGTTAAGAAAAAGTAGGCATGATGGTTCATTTCAGATATTTTAGCAAGTTTTCTAGAAACGGCGTTTTTGGGATTGAATATTTGAATAGGCTATAACAAATATCTAGAACAGCTGAACTATCGTTATTATCATTATTATTATTATTATTATTGGTGGGAAATTATAACAGGAATATATTTGCCGTTTTAATATCAAGAACACTTCCGCGTTTTTGTGCGTATACAGGAATGTTAAAGATATCATTGAGGAAAACGAGGTTGACGTGACGTGATTGAATCAGGGAATCCGTGTGTCCAACACAGGAGAGGATCCTAATTGACTTTACATTGGCATTGTTTTCGTGGTGGCAGCACGTAATTTCAACCCATTATGTGCTGCCACCACGGAATGCGGTGTTAAGAGGTCGTGGTCATTTCACGTATTTCTGTGAGATCAGGTTGTTATTAAATAGCGATAATGTGAAGGTGATGAAGGAGACTCCGCTGACACTGTCTTGCTTGTATACAGAAAAGGTTTATTACAAGAAGTACAACATCAAATCAAGCGCCTAGGATGCCTGTGAGAGAGTTCGAAGCCAATGTGAACTGCTCTGAAAAACAGCCCCAAAATACCCTCGTTATATAGACTGGTGATGTTTGTGAAATGTGAGACAAAGTCAAACAGACGACAGAGAAATATTCTAGTTGGACTTCACCAAACCTTGACCTGGGCCATAAATACCTTCTTGACCCTGACCATATATACTTTAGACCCTAGGCCCCTAACTGGTCATCTGTTCAAAAGCTTCAGAGTAGATCTTAATCGACAAAAGTGATAGTGACAATGATTGTACATTTTCCTCTCCTCAAGAGCTTGTCAGATATATGGAGGATGAAGCCGATCAAATGTGTAATGATTCATATTCAGACAATGAAGAAAACTGGCTTGAATATGAACTGTCATCTCCACTCAAAAGCTTAGCTGATGTTGAAAGTGAGTTTGATGCGATAGAAGAGGAGGTTGTAGAATTCACCACAGCACACAGTCTTCATCTTTTGCAAAATTTGGGTATACTGAAAGGAAATGCCTTAGATCTTCTAGAGCCAGATCCTGTAAACCCCACACCTCAGATGGGAGGTAATCAGACACCCCATAGACAAAACAGTCAGGTCACAGACTTTGTAGAGTCAAACCCCAACCCTCAAACATTTCAAAAGGAGGGTAACACTATGCCACAAAGACAAGACAAACAATACAGTAAGGACGAGTGATTTAAGAACAGCATTGGCTACGCTAAGACATAAATTATTAGACGTTGTTGATTTTTCAACAAATTTGGCAGCACCAGATGGCATTTTAAATGTTGTACTGAGAGGTCCATCACTGTCCAGCGACGTGTGCACGGTAGTAAATGCATGTGACAACTATAATGCGGAAACCTTTCTGGGCGAGATTGAGCAGGTTATGCAAAGCAACGACAGGAGGATATCAGATGATATGCTTGAGTCTGTCGTCACAGCTGCTTTAAACAAACGAGGTGGTGTGAGGCACAAACTAGGCAATATCCAGTACGATCAGATCATTTAAAAAAAAAAAAAAAGCCTGTCTCTACGTTCCATCAAACACAGACAATAATCTGTGTTTCTGTGTGTGTAGCATGTTATATGTACCCGCACATGTCTGAGAATGACATTCAAAAACAGAGGCAACAAATCCATGCCCAAGTAGGGTTTAATCCAAATCACAAAGTGTCGCTAGCAGACATAACAAAATTTGAGCAGCACATGGGGGTTAAAGTTCTTGTTTTTCACCACAGTTATGGCACTAAAAAACTGGATCTGTATCAGACATGAGAACAACTCCACCCAAAAACAATCTGGCTTTATCTGTATGAGGATCATTATTATGATACAGAACAAAATAGGTTTTTTGGAAGTGCATATATATGCGAATATTGCTAAAAGGGTTATACATATCAGGCATATCACAAATGTAAATATTTCTGCAATGTATGCCTATCTGAGTGTCACAAACAAGATTTAACCCCTATACGCTGTCCAGATTGTTAACGCATTTGTAGATCAATGTTTTGTTTGAACAAACATAAAAATGTGACAGAAACCAAACATTACAAGAGATTTAGACCATGTGACGGCACTACACTACTGCAACGACTGTGGCCATCTGTACTCAGTAAGTCACAGAAGTCACTGGCAGGGTCAACCAGGACGTGCTGATGTATTGCAGTAAGCGTGTTGTCATTTCCGGTGTTTTGTGAGAACGTCTCTGTACTGCTCTAGTGAATTCTACTAGCTTTCATTCTGTGTTTTCCACAATTCGGTTGCTTAACATCTAATTCAAGTCTTAACCCACACTAGTTCTGTTTAAGCACTTATAGCTC